GAGTAAGCTATAAGACTCATCATTTTTCCAAATAAATAAGCTAATGAGCCAGAATTGTCTGTCTAATGACGTAGTTAATACAATCGGTTCCGTAGGATTAGACAGGAGCCTCATTCTAACATATTACCTTATTTGGCCAAGGGGATGCGTTGAACATTGTGTATAAATTAATAAGCAGGCTTGCGCGAATTCGTTCGTTTCTAGCAGAATCAAAGAGACTGTCTTTTCTAACATGTAAGAGCTGTCTGTATTCGTAAATTACTTTAAAGAATAAGTACTTTTCTAATGTTAGAGATTTCCTGAGGTTTTGTTTGTCATAGAATTTAAAATGACTATGATATCTTGATTCGTTATTATGTCATCGAAGTTATTGTCTGTTGTCAATACGACAGTCATCATCATCATCATCATCATCATCATCATCATCATCATCTCTCTCTCTCTCTCTCTCTCTCTCTCTCTCTCTCTCTCTCTCTCTCTCTCTCTCTCTCTCTCTCTCTCTCAGTTTTTGGCGCGTTTATACTAGTTACAGCTTAATCTGGTAAGTTTTGATTCACTGCTACAATATCTCATGTTTATATTTCTTCATAAAATTGTAAATGGCGAGCCCAATGCGCCCAGCCTTGGCTTCGTATTGTGTATGGGGTAACAAAAATAAAATAAACAATCTTAACTTTGTAAGGTAGTGACAGTGATTGGTATTTGACACGTATTCGACAAGACAATTGCCATCTTGGGAATCAAAGCTATAACTTTTTCCTGGAGCCAAAATACGGTACCTACCACATTTGGCCAAGAAGTTTAAGCCAAAACAAATATCAAGAAAGTAATGGCAGACATGTAAATTAATGATAGGCAAATGGGTGATTCCCAGTCCATTCCTGAATAACTTAGGCAAGTTAGGGCTGCTTTGGCAAAACAGGCGTTTCCCATGCCAAAATCTTGTTTCAACTTTTTAATTGCTCTCCGAATTTTTCTTTTGGCGAACGCATGAACATGGACATGCAAAATTCCTTTGTCTCCAAAAACTTATCTCTAAAGTAAAAGATAAGTATAAGGATTGACAACATACATACGGACGAAACTGCGGTTATATACACTCATCAATGATGTACTTTTTATAGATAGGTTGGCAGCCTGGATCGGAACTTCAGTGGCAAATCTAACTAAATTTAGCTTTCTGACATTAGCGGACCACGGTTGCTTTCAAAACTTCAGTTTTATACCAACACCAAAAAGTAAAGATACTGTGAACGAGGATATAAAATATTTTGAAGTGCCTTTGAAGTTAAGTTTCAACATTTCACTTAATTGACAGCTCAAAAACGAAATAACACCCTCTACAACCTGTGTCATCGGAAGTGATACGTTCCGGGAAATATAATACGCCAAGGTGAAATTCAGTTTCGTTTCGATTGAAGGTAATTTTTGCATTTAAATTCTGTATTAAAGGTCACCAGCCACCTATATTGTACAAACATGTGATATTATTATACTCATAAACAAAATGCATTTGTTATGTTTGCCTACCATGAAAATGCTTAATTAGGCTTAAAAATCCACTTTTGTAGATGAAAAAATTATTCGGCAATCACCGTAAACAATCGATAGTTTTCGCGTGCAAAACACGGATATGACGTACATTTATCCCTTCTATTCAAACTAACCATTCAAGTGTTTAACGTCCCAACGTAAATGTCTATGTGATATATCTTACGATCGTGCATTTGTACATCAAATATGATGCACCGTGTTGGATATGGATGCAACCAAGAGTTATGATGAGAAAAATGGTTCTTTATGTTTCCTAAAGACCCTGTTTACCAGAAGAAAAGTGAATTTAAGCTGTGAGATATAACAGAATGAGGGGATGGGAAAGTTGTATCATTAATACCCGAATATAGTCAATTTGGCCCAAGACAATTCGGCCCAACTCGAAAGACAATTTCTTTTTCTTAAAACAACAAGTAGATACTATGTAAGATACGTTTTAGTAATAGGTTTTAGAAAAAAAAACTAAATTTAAACGAAACTGATATTCTTTCAAAGACAATAATCATACTTTGCAACGTACATATATATGAGAGAAAACACAAGCAGACATATCTTGCTTATTCTAATTCAAGTATTTATATACATTTTTATGCTAAAAATATAGGCCCTATGCATCTGCACAACGACATTCTCAATTTAAGTCTTCCATTCAAATTATCAATATTCATTTATTAAACAATAAAACATAACATATAATATTATACAAAATATGCATACATTTTTCTAAGGGTAGTGTACATAAGATATTAAAAATATATTTAATTTTAGGTTTCACGTTGTAATACTGCTGTATATGATACACGCTCAGTTACACAAAAGAGAGAGAGAGAGAGAGAGAGAGAGAGAGAGAGAGAGAGAGAGAGAGAGAGAGAGAGAGAGAGAGAGAGAGAGAGAGAGAGAGAGAGTAATGTTGGACATTTTGTCAATGTTGCTGCAATATGAAGCTTTTACTAGTTAATTTTATTGTTTGTTTTAATTTTTCAAGTTGTCTTAGTGTGTGCGCGCGTCAATTAAAAGCTTATCATTACTAGTCAATATCGTCAATCATATTTGCTCAATTATTCCATACAAATAAGAAAGGAATTAATCTGTGATGAATTTGTGTCCTCCTCCCACGCAAGGTAAAAAAAGGATAAACATACACTTATTTGAAAATAAAATGAAAGACATTTGTTAAAGCAAAAAATATATCTATGTAGTGAATGCCGGTTTGCGTATGCGTCCTTACTGTAGAGTATGTCGCTTATGTCAAATAACAAAATCACAAAAGATACGAAAATATCACCAGATTGCTTGTAAACATCTCCCTTTCACGCATGACTTTACAAGGTGAAAAATTAACTAAGATTGTATCGTATCCAGGTTAACTATACGACGGTATCTCGCAATCAAAAATCGTAATTTAAAATGAGTGCAAATGATAATCTTTTCGCTAGCAAGGGTTACAAAAGTGTTATTATAGCATGTTATTGTTGTGTATACTATTTGCCCTGCAAACATAAATTATGATCACATCTGGGAAACAAATATAAACCTGGGTGATGGATAAACACAATTTGAAGCAAGCAGTAAACTCTTTCCTTAAACTTTCTGACAGAATATCAAATACAAAGGTTAGTTTATTAGAAAGTAAACAACCCCGAAAACTGACTCTGGTATCTTGTACGTGTGAAGATTTGTCTTATGAAGTCGGCCCACATAAGAAAGTCAAGTTTGGTTTCTTTGGATTCTTTTAAGTGTGCCGATTTTCTTTTCTTTTTTTCTTTTCTTTAAGTCGGCCGACATAGAGAAGCCAACATTGATTCCTTTTAACCTGTATTAACGAGAAGTTTTCAAAATAAATTGAAACAATGAAACAGTTTTGAAAGCGACACAATCTAGTGCGTCCCGCACGCATATCGATATAAGGCTGAAAAGTAAATTAGTTTTCAGTAATTTCATCTAAATTTTTTCGACAGCAAGAAGCATGTACTACGTCTTGTCGGGATAAATGTACGTCATTTCCGGCTGGCGTCCTCAATAAACGGGAAATCGTAGCTAAGGGGTAGTAACTGCATTGTATACATCTTTTTCGAGTAATTAAATTATTATTTCTTCTTTATAGTTGATAATTTTTTTTTGTGAGAGTATAACTACTTGTAATCATGTAATGCAAATCTGATGTAAACAGAAAAATGTTGGAGTGTGGCCGGTGACCTTTAATGAAACCATTTTAGGTAAATAATGGTGTAAACCAAAAGATAACATTATCGACTACTCGGTTATCGTTTTGCTGGTATTGCATGACGTGCAATTTATTCAGACACCTCAACCGATCATCGGTTACATTGTTTGAAGTTATCAGAAGCCTATTGTTGATTTTTTGTGCACTAGGTACTTTTGTACGAAATTTCTTTAAACTACGCATACATTAAATAAACTTATATGGAATCGACAGTTCAGTAAAATATGGTGGCTCAAATGTCCCGCAATGTAACACTACCCGTGACGTAGGTTATTGGCCTTGAATAATCATTTTTGTGAAACCAGATCTTAAAAATTCCTGTTGGAAGCGTGTTTTTTACCGGATGATATACAAATACTTTTCCAACGTTAGAAACCAAATCATATAATGGCGTTTCTATTCAAAATTCTTATATGAGGAGTTATGTATATTTAATTTGTATTGTTTGTTAATTTTACTCCATTATTGTATCCTATTTATATATGTATTTTTAATCAACCATTGCCAAGAAAGAAGTTAAATGTCTACCCGACTAACGCCGTTTATTTTGTAAACAACGTAATACATAGCTAATATTTTCCTATGATTATGAATTAAATATTCAGATCATTATTCATGGATGTAAACGTGCTTACTTGCATTTGAGTCTTGGACATCTATCACTTCAAAATTCTGAAGCTTCTTGGCAACATAGAATGTTTTAGAAAGGAAACTGACATACATATTTGCTCTGTTATTATATCTTAGCTTTCATTATTGTTGGTTACTTCAAAATTGTACGTTGATACCTTAACATTGGAAGTGGAATCGTTGTTATCGTTGAATTCAGTTTTTAATTTTGGTGGATTGGTTATTTTAATTATTATTTACTGGAATTAGAAAGAACTCAATATTATATTCGGACTAAATCATTATTATTGGAATTATATTAATGTGTTAAATCAAGACTGTGAACACACCGCCACAATGCATGTCATTGGCACATTAGCACATTCCAGATTACAGGCATATATGCGAGGTCAGTATTGGAATTCATTCAGATCACCAGTGGGATTCATTTGGAGCTCAATACATTTGGACTTGTGATACAACTTTTAGGACTTTTTGGGATTTGTTTCACAATACTGAAGTTCTTTTTAATTTTCACTTTATAATCAAGGGAAATAAGTTACTTGTTGAAATTTAAAATACTTCCTAGTTTTCGCTCTTTTACTTAACTTAAGACCGCTTTGTTGGTCTAGTGGTTAGAGCGTCCGCCTTAGATGCAGGAGGTCGCGGGTTCGAACCCCGTCCGAGTCATGCCAACGACTTTAAAAATGGTACTAACAGCTGCTTGGCTTGGCGCTCAACATTAAGAGGTTAGTGTTAGGACTGGTCGGCCTGGTGTGAGGATAATGTGACTGGGTGGGACATCATGCTACATGTCTGCGGCATGATGCCCTAGTGCTAGACATCACTATAAGCTGTCACACTGCAGAATCGTAGAGATATGACTGAAATATTGTTAAAGCTACGTTAAAAATCTAAATATCACACACACACACACACACACACACACACACACACACTTAATTTAAGATCATAGGGTCGTAACACAGGAATCAGAATGTAGGGTTTGCAAAATTTATCAAATGGCAAAATGGCAAACCTCAGAAGACATAAAATGGAAATTCCGCCGTTGTCATGGTTCGAGATGGGTAAACTTTGGAAGTGACATATAAATGATTTTGAACACTATCAGCCGCTATCGGTTCTAGTGTATCACGATACAGCATGTCAATTCAGACGTGAAATTAAAAAGATTAGGCGAAGATGATGTTTTGGACAAAAAGGAATTCGACTACTTAATTCAAGATAAATTAAGACCAATGTAGCTTTATCTTTATCCTTTGATTCACAAAATTGTGGGCAACTGGGCTATACCAAGGGAAGTTCTGTCATGCAGCCCATATTTTTCGATTGTTCATGTGAGGCTGAGCATATTGAGGAACAGATAGGAAGTACAAATAAAATAGTTCAAGACATTTATATTTTCCCTCTATAAACATGGTTAAGATTGAATTTGTTTTGCGTACTCCCATAAAAGATGCAGTAGAACTTATGCTGAATTTTTTTGCCAAGAACTTCAAATTTGTCCAAAATGCTTTAGAAAGTATTTTGTTAATTTTTTGAAACACCACAATTACAAGGATGAATGTTCACAATTTAAGAATGACTTTTACACAATGTAAGGATCAATAATCGTAATAGAAAACTTAATGATTTTAATAAATGTTGAATGATCGCCATACAATGTTGTGTGTGTGTGTGTGTGTGTGTGTGTGTGTGTGTGTGTGTGTGTGTGTGTCATATAAGGTAAGTATATATTGTTACGACTCTAGATTAAATCATACGTATCAGAAAAGAAAGTAGAACCAACAATTTAAGTAAAGGTAAGATAACATGCTAATTTATTTATCTAAAATACAAAATGAAAAGTAAAAAATACAGTATTGTGAATTAAATTTTAAGTAATCTTAAATGTCCAATACATGTAACGTACATGCCATACTCAAAAAGTGTGTTTTTGACGTCCAAAGGGGTTTGGGTGTGGGTCAGTGTTTGTTTTCTTATTTATATATCCATCACATTATATTTTGATTTTTCTTGTACATATCTGGGTAGGGGAAGTAATCTCTTTATTGATAAAAATACTTTGCAAACATGAACGTGTGCCTATTATTTCCTTTAAATCCGTTAATATCATGGCTATAATCATACTGAAAATCACAGAAGAATTAAAAGCTATTAGTTTAACAAAATTAAGATAACGAACAATAATAAAGATAATAAACAGTCAATTACCAGGTTGAAGTATAATGTTGACACAACGCATCCTTTCCTAACCTCAATATTAATTTCAAAGCAAGTATCGCAGATTCCCACGGTGTATGTGATGTTGGTGTAAAACCTCTTGATGAGCTTGAATTCCCTTGTAGGGAATTCAGTAGGCTCTCAGAATACACCAAAGGCTTGTGAACTGTTCTGTGATGGTTCTCAAAGTGAAAATTTGATATGTACACCCTCTTACCTTCCGAAATCCGGCCTTCTCCTTTCTCTTTGTCTACAGCATCTGAGATCTGCTTGATGATAACCTTGGTAAAGATAGTACTGTGTATGGATAGGAGATTAATACCAAACCAATTGGTACACTCATCGAGTGCCCTCTTCTTGTGAATCTTGACAATTACTCCCGCTCCTTTTGGCCCAGTCCCTGGGTATCTGATGTCCTTCCCAAAGTTATGTACACAGCGGCTGCAGAATGGGGACTTTGAGTTTTGGATCTGATTTGAACATTTCATCATTCAGGTTATCATGCACTGAAGCCTCGCCAGTTTCGAGAAATCTAAAAGCTGCAATGATCCACCTCTCTCTCTCTCTCTCTCTCTCTCTCTCTCTCTCTCTCTCTCTCTCTCTCTCTCTCTCTCTCTCTCTCTCTCTCTCTCTCTCTCTCTCTCTCTCTCTCTCTCTCTGGTGGAGCAGTGCTAATTTTAAAGTCTTCCTCAGTTTCTTGGATGTCTGTATCTTCCTCAGGCGGATGTCTGTTAAGAAATTCCTTGATATAATATGTTCAGTGTGCTTCATGCTCTTTCCCTGTTGTTCTTTATTGTCCTTGTTTATCCTTGATAGACCTTTAGTCCAGCCACTGTACTTGCCACAATCGAGCTTGGTGACTCGATATACGTTTCCTTGTTCTCCACGATATACTGCATATATATGTCGTGCTGCAAGGTTTTCCATGAAAATTAGTTTGTCTGCTCTTACTAACTTCTTCACGTACAGTTCACTCCTCTGACTGAAGTTGCTTGTAGAAGGTGTCTTTAACTTCTTCATCACTGTCATCTATTAGGGCATAACACTGGATCAGAACGATGTTCCTTTAAGTTTGATTCTCATCTGTCTGCTGTTGACTAGTTTCACTCTAGCTTTGTAGATTCCACTATTCAAGCTGATGGCCACTCTCTGGTCATCGGCTCTTCCGAGGGTAGCACCGTTTGTCCTGTAGTTGCCATCAGTATTCTTGATCCTGTCCATCTCATGTCGCTAATACTCAGGTTATGTAATCTGCATCGTCATATATTTAATGTTATTAGTGCTAACCTGCCATTGTCGTACATAGTTCGTACGTTTCAGAAACCAATCCTGATCTTTGCTTCGGTGCTCAAGACCTCGATGTTACGTACAAGAAATCAAAAACAAACTTTATTCAAACTTTATTTACGGAATGGTCATACCCTCTGATCAAAATAGCGATGCTCTATTTACCTCCCTTGTCATTAGATTCGTCAGTCACGACAGAAACAATTCTTATTTTGGCACAACTCCTTTACTTGATTGTCCAACATTGGTGTAAGTGCATTTGTTATGATATTTGCTGTTTTGTCTGTTTGCAACCAAATTTCTTCATATATGTTTTATTTCCAGGGTAACAACTACGTTTCGACATTTGCCTTCAAAAATAAATATCGTTACTACTTGTACACAATTCCAACTACCGAAATAATCGTTTATTGCATTTTATATAAAGAGTACAAACCTTAGAACAAAGAAATGTTGCCATTGATCACAAACGTTTTAAAAACCCACATCAACATTTTCATTCGATTCAGTGGTGTATAATAACATCTGTTCTTTAGCACGTGTTTTTGATGTGCTTCAGACGAAGTTAGGTTGTTCTACTTAGGGTCACTTACCTATGCAAAGAAGTAAACACTGCATAATTTTGCACAGCATACTCACACATTTCTTACCCAATCAAGTAATTTCTGAAAGAGGGTTAATGAAATTCTGACTGCCTTAGCTTCCTATATCAGCTGCATGTCCCGAAGATAGGTTGAGCTTTGAGCGGGACTGTTTATTGTTTATACATCACTTACTGCTTTTGTTGTTGGGCTTAACGCCATTTTCAGCACACTATAGGCTATTCATGGCGGCCAGTATTAATGGCGGAGAAAGAAACCGAGAAATCACCGGAAAGAACCACCGACCCACGAGAAACTATTGGCAAGCTTTCTCACATATCCACATTTGCCGACTCCTAGACTCGAACACACGCAGACAGAGGTGAGATGGCAGTGATCTGTAACGGACAGCGCTTTAGACCACTCGGCCACTCGGGACCCCATTACTTACTGCCGATTACAGGCATAAGTTGCTCTGGTCAAGAAATATAAAGGGTTTCTAGTTGTTGAGAAAAATATGGTTAAATTTCAGGAAAATCGTGTTTTGCGAAACACAACCGTGTCGGTAGTAGGTTGAGTGCAATGTCCAAACTCGTAGGTTTTTGTGTGATGTGTCATATTGTGGCAAGAATGTAATCACAAGTCCAAACATGTCCCGAATAACCTACAGTAGTTTTGAATGTCCTGATACAACACAATGGTTATATCCAGAATGTCCTTGAACAAATTCACAATAATCAAAAGTTTATATTAGTCCAATGAGCCCTTTAGTGATTCTAATGAGCATCTAAAATGAACAACTCGTCTCGAATTATATCTGATGTCAACATTCCAACAACAAACTCTGATCATAGATTCCCACAAACTAATATAGAAGGGGAGTGAATTATTTTTTTTTATCAAATTAAACTCCAAATTATACTCTTTTCACTTGGCTTAGATGTGGATAAATCTTACTGGAACTTCCAGTCTTATTGCACCCAAAACTGGGTCTAAAATATTCAGAACTTATGTAAATATTCTGTGATGTATGATTATGATTTTTAGCGTAGATGTTAAAATTTTTAAGTCATATCGCTACGACGTTTGCAGTGTGGCAGGTTATAGTCATGTCTAGCACTGGGGCACAGATATGTAGCATGATGTCCCACCCATTCACATTATCCTGACACCAGGCCGACCAGTCTTAGCTTATTGCTTGCGTCAAGCGAGGCAACTATTAGTACTATTTTTGTAATTATTTGATATGACTCGACCGGGGATAGAACCCACGACCTCCCACATCCGAGGTGGACGCTCTAACCACTACACCACCGGAGCGGTCTGTAAATATTATATTTACAACTTTAAAAAGTTAGGTACGTAAGCAATATGCTTACATTACTTAAAGCAATTGTTACAATAATGGAGATAAGTTAAACGCACAAGTAAATATATATATCACACTTCCCCTCATAAATCAAGCGAAAGATTTATACAATAAAGCTTTCTTTTACATCTTGATCAAATATGCATTTTTACATCTTGATCAAATATGCATATGGTAATATAAGCATTACAATTACATAGGAAGGTGTCTTATGAACGACACTCTGTATACACAAAATAAAGCAACGTAATACTTCTATATACGTGAGAGTACACCTAAAATCATTTTATATTTTCCTTTAGCCTGTCAATTATCAGTTTTGTACTATTGCAGCATTAAACTTCACCTCAGCAATATCTTTTTGCATCAGTTTGTTAATGAATTTAATGCGATCATAGAACACAATAATCAGAGAAAGAGAATATAATAATAATAAAATTAATAATAATAATAATAATAATAATAATAATAATAATAATAATAATAATAATAATAATAATAATAATAATAATAATAATAATAATAATAATAATATAGTTATAATAAACTTCAAAATACTGAATAGCAAATATCAAAGCCAAACATTCCTTCTCAACTGTGGAATATTTTTTCTGGTGTTTCTTTAGTTTTTTTCGATAGAAAAATAGCACATTGGATGATCCACACTATGTTTGTCTTCTTCCATCAGCATTCCAATACTCCTACATCAGTTGCATCAATATAACTTTTCAAATAATTGGCTGAAATTTAGTGCTGTAAAAACTAGTACGCTTTTACGTTCGGCCCTAAATTTATCAAAAGCATCGTTTGTCAGACCAATGTAATTTGGGTATTTAGTTTCATTGACTGTTTTTAGTCTTACAATTTTTTAAAAACTTTCATTACATGCTATAGAAATGTAACTTTTCATCCTGGACTTGACCTTGTCTAAAACTGAGTTCATTTCTGCTTGCCTGGTTGACTTTTTCATTTTTTTTTTACATTGCAAACAACTAATACATGGCTAAATTATTTTTTCTGTATATGGGTTTAATATTATGATCATTATTAATAAAATATGTTATTTAGGTCAAAGTCTTTTAGTTTCCTAAGTGAAGTTTATTGATGTAATTTATTTTGTTGTAAACATTAGACCATTCTAGAATGTTTTTTCATTAGATAATGTTTTTGTTATAGAAAATGCTAATTATGACCTGAGGTCAAGTAGAGAACTATATAATCTTGTGATTGTGCGGACTTGGTCAGTAGTGGTTTGACATCTAGCACTTTCATGTTGTATTTTGCTGTGACCAGTTGAGCTGAAATTTATTTTCTTAAAATTATTGAATTCAAGTGGGGTTTTTTTTCTCTGGTAATACAAAAGTGAACTGATAAAATTCTTGGATAAACACATTCGCTGAAATTTATATTGAATTCAAATATGAAATTATATTATTGTGATTCAACAAAAGACTTGATACATCAACACTCTATAAGCGATTATAAACACGTCATCGCTATCAGTTTTAGCTTTCTTCGGGACTTGTCCTGAGTTTTATTTATGACATCCAATTATTAGGACCTGTGTCTGTAATTCTTGGATTATTTTGGGATTTATTCGCAATACCGTAAGTTCTTTTTCTTTTCATTTTCACTTTTTATTCCAGGGAAATTACTTTTTTATAAAATATTACAAAGCTTATTGTTTCCACTCTTTTCTGTTACTTATTTTTAAGAGCATAGACTTGTAACAGATAACTTGCTCAAACGTTTGTAAAAGTTTCGGCGATTATAGACAAATTTAAACAAGTTTTCAGATAATATTCATCGTTTTGCTAATAGATGCTGGAAATTCAAAGAGAGCCTTGACCTTTACTTCTACAGGTTCAATTTGACCTTGTACCAAATTAAAGTCTAAAAATGGGACACAAGCACGGCAAACTTTGCCTTTTTCTAAATTAACCGTCAGATTTGCAACGCATAGAAGAATTGATGAATGGATTCCAAGCGATCTTCCCAAGTTTGCAGGTATGGTTATAGGTGAATGATGATGTCACCGATGTACGGTCACAGGTATTTAGAACAGATTGATGGACATCAATTCACACCGATAAAGCCTATCTGCATTTCCAAACGCCGGACAGTCTTTTCATTTTCCCGTGAGTGGAATTTGCCAGAGTCATTTAAATAGGTCAATCTTAGTGACATATTTCGCATTTCCAAGTTGTCGATGACATTATCTAATTCTGGCATTGGAAATGATTCCATTTTGGAGACACATTTGGCTTTTCCACGGTCAGTGCGCATGCTTAATATATTATATGCCTTAGGTACAAAAGTACATGTTGAAATTCAGTCGCTTTTATCTAGTTCTATACACTCGTTTTCCAGCAAATATGGAATTTCATTTTGTCAAATATTCCTGCTCAAGAAGGTTCTTGATGTAAGGATGTTGTACAAAAGGTTTAGAATGTATAACATCAACGTCATGGTATATATTGCCTGTTCTTGTTCGGAATCTGCAGGTGCTTATATTCGTATAACAGATGGGGGTTTTTCTCACTCGTTTCCTAAGGTAACAGATGTGAAAGTTTCTAGTTCGAATTGATTACTGTTTCTGGATTTCGAAGACCAGAGTCACCACATTCAGATTGTATTCATTATTCTGTCTTTGATACGTACAACTCTAATCCGATTAAATAATTAAGTGTTTTATCTATCCCGTTGAACATATTTATATGACAAAATTTGCCTCTGTTTCCGCCACCTAAAAGTTCCATGATAGAATTTAAGTCATTTACTTTCTTTTCAATTGTATGAGAACTATACAATTTAGCCTCAGGAGAATTTACAGGCACACAAAAGATAGCCAGAACTTTGTCAACAGGCTGCAAACAACTTCTTTTGTATTTCGGTCATGAAAGAAATATTTCATTTGTACTAAGTGGAGTGAAGATTAGTTTTTGTTACTTCACAAGCCTTTGATAAATAATATTTAAAATCAGAGACATAGTCACAAAGATTATTCTTGGAATTTTCGGTTGAAAAGAGTTTCTTTTAATAGCTTCAATAGTCTACGGACAGCGTGTCCATAAACTGGTTTTGTGAACTGATTTCCTAGCAGAAAATGACAGCAAATGAGCACCATCATCCCAATCTTTTCCTGCATTAAATTAATATGACCTAATCATGCTCTTCAAAGTTTAATGAAATGTTTCCAAAGCCCCACGACTCTCAATGTGATCGGTAGAATACTTAAATTGCTGAATGCCTAATTCATACATAACTCGATGGAAGATTCCAGACATAAAATTTGACCCTTGATCGGGCAGATTTGGGCAGGCCAAACAGTGTATAAAATACATAATCAAAGTCTTTATTATAGTTTCATTTCAACTATTCCTCAAAGGAATTGCCACTGGAAACCTTTTGGAAGCATACATTATGGCCAACAAGTATTAGATTCCTGACTTGATCTAAGGTAAGGACCGACACAACCCACCATTATTCTGCTAAATAGTTCGGCAAATGCAGGAATAGGTTGCAGATGAGCCTTAGACGTCTCCTGATTGGGGTTTTCTACCATTTGACACGCGTGACAAGATCTACAGTATTTAGAAACATATCTTTTAATTATTGAAAATCAAAAAGATTCCAAATCGTCTAATAAGCCTGATTGACCTTTAATTTATCAACCGAGGGAGTTTAATGAGCTCGACTAAGAATTTCCTGTTAATATGACTTTTGGCCAACAATTTAATAGCTCTTAACTATTCGTAAAAAGGGGACACCTCATATGGTCACCATTTTCTCTTAAGAACCCCATTTTCACAACATAACAAATTGGATCTTGTGTGGCTTGAGTTTTAGCCATCTGAAACAAACATGAGATCTCAGAATCTTGCTCCTGTTTGATACGAGTAATTGTCTTTTCTTACCCTAACTGGAATTGAGAGAATGAACAGTACAAAGAGGATCTCTGTTGTCAACACCTCTTGATTGATCAATACGAGGAACAAACGTAGCCCCATTAAAAGACTGTCAAAAATATCAGCAAAAATAATAAACTCCCGATAAATATAAATAATAAGAGTCCTTGTTTGATATCAAACCATTAATTGTAGGATATAAATCAGGGATTTCAATCTGAGCAAGGTCAATTTTCTGGTCCAAGACTTGTCATTTATATATAGATTACGGATGACCTTATCTCAGCTTGGTAATACTACTACTACTACTACTACTACTACTACTACTACTACTACTACTACTACTACTAATAATAATAATAATAATAATAATAATAATAATAATAATAATAATGACTTTATATAGCACCTAATATTTAGAAACTCTAAGCGCTTTACAACATTTTACAACACCTATAAAGAATTAAAAGAATAAAATGATATGATTACAAAAACCAAAAATAAAAAACACCACAAAATTAGAAACAGAAAAACATGATGAAATTTTTTAGGGTAAGGATACATTAGTAGGTCTTTATGACTGTTCCTGCAATGAAATAGATGAGTTTTAAGAGCGCTGTTGAATGAGTTCACTGTGTCGTTGTGTCTAAGTGCAGTGGGCTATTCATTCCACTTTACTAGGCCCTGGTATGCAAAAGAACGTCGTTCATATGATTTCATTGCGTACTATTAAATGAATACCCTCGATAGGTAAAAAAGTCCCTTTTTCAACAGTCACTGGTACTGAGAATCACTAATATGTCATATAGACCTTTTAGACACGTATAGTTTGTAATTCTCTATAATAAAAGCAAACAAGTGATTTTTTTTACCTAACCATTGTATTGCGTTTAATACAAGACTGTGACCTTGATCTTTATGAAATATGAACATTTGGATTTGGTCAGTCTTTAATACGTTGCTTCTCTTTCACCCTGTAGCAATCGGAAAAAACGTGATTTATCTTTGTACAATAAGTGTATGTAGGATGGAGCAATGATTTATGAT